TACATTCCAGTTGTGTTTTTAGGGTAAGTCGTTTGTTTTAATCCTTAAAGCCAATACAAAGGCAATGTATCTACGCAATGGTTTTTGCTTTTTCTATGATTCACATTTTTATAGCCAATGTTGGTAACAATATTTGTGCTTTTTATTTTGAATATATGCATATAGAGCTAAAATATAGTTTAAGTTAGAGAAGCCAAGACTGTTCATTTGGTTTGATCATAGAGGTTTGATTACTTTGGTATTTTATACGGACTATTAAAGTAATTAACCCTACTTTATTATTTTACTCTGTCTATAACGCCAGATTATTTTACTCTGTCTAATGGCATGTGCCTAGTTAACCCATTGAGTCACATTGTGCCCTCATGTGCCCTACTTTAATATTTTACTCTGTCTAACGCTGGCACTTAAAGGGTTAAACAGAGGATTGTTTTTTATATATTGCAGTTCTCTGACCTCAGTGATCTAAGACGAGATGGAACAGGACAATCTTTTATCTTTGGGAATGTTATTTTGTGGGATTTCGATATTCTGCCATTGCCACCTTCTCAAACAATTCAACCTCGAGGTCCAGATACTGTTGATGAAGATTTGGACAGTGTGCTGTCACTAATAAATTTACAAGGGCAAACTGGATATAACTGTGATCTACAACCAATAAATTCTGTGTGCTTGGTGGGTATTACTCTACAGTGCAGCATTGCTGATTGGAAAAAGTGGACCATGGGACATAGGGACAGAGATGATCCAAGAAACAATTATAACAATGACTAGTTACTAGAATATTGTAAATTGATGTTTGTGATGTTATTCTGAGTGTGCATCCACACCGGGCAAGCTCAAACGTTTGCCTGACATGGTGGGAATCGAACCTGCAATTTTTGGGATATTAGTCCAATGCTCAACCAACTGAGCTCAACTCGGTGTGGATGCATACTCTGAGTAACATCACAAACGTATTCACCTGAGTAAATAACACCAACACACACAAGAAGTATATTGTAAATTGTTGTTATTTTATTATGTATCCCTACATACCGTAAACCACCGACTATAAGCCCTGGGCTTATATACTTTCGTAAGCGATTTTTGACGGGCTTATACAAGGGTGGGCTTATATACGGGGGGGGGGGTTATACATGGATGACCTTTTGTGTTAGTGTAATAGTGATAAACAAGACTTAGTGTTAAACCAGCACAGCAAAAATACTGATTAATATTGATAAATAATAGTGATAAACAAGTGGGCTTATATTCGGGGGGGAGGGCTTAGATTTGGAATGAGGTGAGCGTTAGTAGATGTGGTGGGCTTATACACGGGGGGGGGGGCTTATAGTTGGAGGTTTACGGTATTTATTTTATTATGGATCCCTACAATAATAGTGACATAGATTACTAGGCTAATGTAAATTGTTGTTATTTTATTTTATTATGGACAAAATTTCTCCAGATCCATGGATCTTTTTTGGCGATAGATATTAGAGCTGTGCGGTTAACCGAAAAATTCGGTTCTTCCGGTACTTTTTTCAGCACCGAAAAACTATACGCAAAAAACCGGTAGTTTCGGTTTTAATTTCCCGTTTAACGCCCACCTGATTGCAGGTTGAAATGTTTGGAAAATAACAAGATTATGCTCTTTGTGCACAATATGCACTGTACTAAGTGCTCAAATAGTTGATATTTTAGTTGTGATAGTCATTTTTGTGAACTTGCTTTAAATTTTTTTAAAAACTAAGAAATATTACATCTTCATAAATAAATTCCAATTGTTCTTTTAAAATATTCAGAGATTTATACAAACTTACAAAGGCATAAATTCATCTATTTAGTAAAAATGCTTGAAACATACATAAATGAGTTCATACATTTGTACTGTTCTTCTTTTTTGAAAATAACCGAAACCGAACCGAACCAAGGTTTTTTTGTTCCAAAAAAACCGAAACCGGAACCGAGATAAAATTTTTGGAACCGCACAGCTCTAATAGATATCAACTTGATCAAAGCTTTATTTTCCTCAAAGGTCCATTTATGTTTTTTTCACTGGTGACTTCTCTGACAGAGTCAGCCTGATCTTTCTGCTAGGAAACTACAAAAAAGTATGTCATTTACTAAAATGGAAATTGGGGTGCAGATGACATATGAATAATCATACATGAATAATGTTACACTGCAGAATAATGTTACACAGAGGTATTAAGGTGGAGTAATACAGACAACAAAATTGCTGCAATTTGCAACAAAATCTGATTTCAACGGATGTTAAGTGGAAATGTTGACACATAACTTAATACAAATCATAGAAATGTTGACACATGTTGCTTCGTACATGCGTTGAAATCAGATTTTGTTGCAAGTTGCAGCAATTTTGTTGCTCGTATTTTCTCCAGCTTTACACTGAATATACAAAGACAATTTATAAGAATAAAATAGCGAAGAATAACAGTACATTTATAAGTACAATTTCGTCTACCATATATTTTTTTATTATACCTTTGCTGATGTGCCAGGACTTTGAAACAAAGCTCGACTGAATGGAGTGAGTGATGAACTTTCCACACGAGATATTTTCCTGGCGTATCAGTAATTTGAGTTTCCTCATTTTCTAAATCATGATCAACAATGACAACATCGCCATCATTAATAAATTCCATTTTTTGCTGCAATAAACTCGAATTCTATAAAAACAAATGATACAATCAGGAACAATACAATACGTTAGAAAAGCTGGCTTGTTTACGTCGCATTCGCGCCATATTTCCTGTAGAATTCCGCTTTTCCCGCGATTGGTGACAACAAAAGCAAAAATACCCCATTTTCGAACAACGATTACTCGTCGGTTTCAGGGGGTTATTTATGTTTTAAAGTAGCAATAGAAAGAGTAACCCTAATTACTGAATACAATGATGTGAATTTTATTGAATTTCCCGATTTATAAACCTAATAACCCCCTGCGTATATCAAGGCCGTTTTCGTGTCATGGCACTATACCCGGAATATACCCATTTTCAAACCGCGATAACTCGTCGGTTGGAGGAGATTATTAATGTTTTAAAGTATCAGCTAGAACCGTGATCCTCCTCGAATTCAATCATGTGAATTTTGCTGAATTTCCCGATTTATAAACTATTTAACCCCCGGCGTATTTCAATGCCATTTATTTTATAGCCCCGAAATATACCCCATTTTCAAACCGCGATAACTCGTCAGTTCGAGGGGGTTATTTGTGTTTTGAAGTATCAATAGAAAGAATAACCCTTTCTGAATTCTATGCTGTAAATTTTGTTGAATTTCCTGATTTAAAAAGTATTTAACCCCCGGCGAGTATCGGAACCACTTTCGTAAATGTGCACTGTCCCGAAGCCAAGGGTAATTCAATGCGTGATTAACATAACTGAAACATGATACGACAACCACATAAAACAAAAATCGTGCAATTAAGGTCACATATAAAACAATTATAAAAACGTACCTTTCAAAAATCAAAATTTTCAGAGTGAAAAATCGCGATAGAAAACCACAATTTTTCGACAAACATCTCTCAAAGACTCGCAAAGTTCAATTCCGAATATTAATGAGAAGCAATGCATTGTGGTATAGTGACCACTCCTCCTCTGCTCAGCAGTTATGATTGACACTCAGCAGTTATGTAATAAATGTAATGGCCACTCAGCTGTCTAAGAATTTCTTTGATTTTCACCTACAGTAGTTTTGGATTTTAGCTGTATTCGAATTATTCGTTGAATTTAATAATTTGGTTATGATGTAATTCCAGGTGCAAGTTGTGGCAATTGATTATACAGGACAGTTTGTGGCTTTACCTGGGTAAGATATTAACACCTTTGACTCTTTTTTGTTTAAAGGCTCTTTCATTCACATGTACATTTTGTTTAAAATTAACCATCAAGATAGAAAAGGGAATAGTATAAATATGGTTGCTTTTATATAATATTCATACTGTAACTGTATTGGTATATATTGTTTCTAAATATTTTTAGCCGTGGGGGACTGGCATTGTTTGATTTGACACAATCAAAAGGAATTTCGTGTATTGGCAAAATAGTGAGGCAAAGCAAATGGGACTGCTATGCAATTGAGTGGAATCCCCACCCAAGTCATCAAACTCATCTCGCATCAACGGTGAGCAATATATAAATTAATATAGAATGAACTGTTATAATGAACTGTTATATACTGTATACATTACGTCATTAAAATCCTGACAGTGACGTACAGTATAAAGTTACAGGTAAACTACGTAAAACGTTCCTCTTTTAAAGACCATGCACAGGCGGCCCAATCTCGCAAGGGTCAGTGTAGACTTATCATACTTATAGTATAAATGTATATTATATTATATTAAAGTATATTGTAGTAAAAATATGTCGTAAAATATAAATTTTAAAATGAAATTGACTTGCCTATTTGATAGTGTGTGTTCTCCTTTTATTCCACCTTTGTTGGACTAATATTTTCCGAGACTCTGTACTCGATGTTACTAGTATACATGAAACATGATAAAGGCTAACGATTCCCGATCGTCGATACGACGGCACGGCACTTCGAATCGAAAATTCTCACACTCAAATCGCTTTATTCTCCAAACAAATTCGCCAGCATGTACAACAAATGCCGTTCTTCGAAAATACAGAGGTACTTCGGCGAGATGTACAAGTTTTGGACTATATTTTAACAATGGAAATCAAAACCCATTTTATATTGAACTTACCCGGACCGAAAATTACTACGGCGAACGTCTGCGCAACCAGGCCTCCTTTACCGTTGGATTTACAGGGGGGGGAGGATGCCACTAATATATTCACGATAATGACGATAATATTTCGAATTAAAGTATCATATTCTACCATACTTTCCAACAAAGAGCCGCTGTATATTACTTCTTCCTTAAATTTCTTCTGTCTCCGTCGTTTAATTTTCTTTTCTTCGACAACATCTCGAGTTTTATACAGTATCCGATCGAAGGAGTTTTTATTTTGAATATCAAATTTCAAATAATGTAAACAGTCGCTATCACGGTTGCGATTGGCTGGCTGTTACCGGAAATATCTGCTTCCCCCCCTGTAAATCCAACGGTAAAGAAGGCCTGGTTGCGCAGACGTTCGCCGTAGTAATTTTCGGTCCGGGTAAGTTCAATATAAAATGGGTTTTGATTTCCATTGTTAAAATATGGTCCAAAACTTGTACATCTCGCCGAAGTACCTCTGTATTTTCGAAGAACGGCATTTGTTGTACATGCTGGCGAATTTGTTTGGAGAATAAAGCGATTTGAGTGTGAGAATTTTCGATTGGAAGTGCCGTGCCGTCGTATCGACGATCGGGAATCGTTAGCCTTTATCATGTTTCATGTATACAAGTAACATCGAGTACAGAGTCTCGGAAAATATTAGTCCAACAAAGGAGGAATAAAAGGAGAACACACACTATCAAATAGGCAAGTCAATTTCATTTTAAAATTTATATTTTACGACATATTTTTACCACAATATACTTTAATATAATATAATATACATTTATACTATAAGTCTACACTGACCCTTGCGAGATTGGGCCGCCTGTGGACCATGTAAAGTCCGTTCTGCGCATACATTGTGCGCAAGCCTACATTATTAATGTTATTAATATTTCGCACCTTCCGAACTTTTTTGAATTGAATCTCTAGTCTGTATTCATTTACAAGCATAGCGAACCAGAAGAGTGTAAAAAGTTCAGTATAACATATATCTAATCATATTTTACAACCGTAGCACTGAGTTCAAAATGTAAACAAAGCGTTTGTTTACATTACGGACTTTACATGGTCTTTAAGTTCCTAACTCATTTGGAACATTTTGACACCATCTTGTTATCGATAACTTCCAGACTAAGTGTAGTCTGGTATCAAGGCTGAAGGGCTATTAATTAAAAGGCTGTACCAAGGCTGAAGGGCTATTACATTTTTGAAAGGCTATAATTCCAACTTAAAATTACCACTAAATGAAACTCAGACATTTTTAGAACCACTGAAAATTTTAAATTCCTAACTAATTTGGAATTTTCATAATTAGCTTTGCAAATTTGAAAAACTCTTTGCAAATCCATTGAGGGAATTTGCAATTTTCCTGTCGGCCGTTGCAGTATTCCAACTCAAAGCAAGTTCCTTTCAAATTTTCCTAACTTCCTGTTCTAATTTCCTGACTTCCTGTTCTGTTCTGAGCGTTGTCATTGGTGGTTTATTTTGTTAGCCAATTGCAACGCACACAAAAGAACAGGAAGTTAGGACTGGTAACAGGAAGTTAAGAACTTCTAACAGGAACTGTGGAAACTTTATTTGGCTCTTACTGTCGTTCCAATTGAAGTGTTGCTCAAATATTGAATCAATACATTACCTCGGGCTGACCAATTCATTTGATCAAGTTCCTCGAGATATTCATACACTTCCTATGAAAGAGCCAATTCCAAGTATTTGATCATTTCTGGTCACTTCCTTTCTATTTATGATTGGTTAGTTGCACAAACGACAAAGGTGATTGGTGCATTCAAACTATTCAACAGGAAGTTTACAATTATACTAGGAAGTGTATGTATATCTCGAGGAACTTGATGAAATGAATTGGTCAGCCCGAGGTAATGTATTGAATCAATATTTGAGCAACACTTCAATTGGAAGACAGTAAAAGCACTGCGAATTCCCGCAAGGGAGTTTTTCAAATTAGCAAAGGTGATGCGGAAAATTGCAATCAAGTTAGGAACTCAAAAGAGGAACGCTTCACGTAGTTTACCTGTAAAATGATGCAGAAAGTTAAAAACCTTCGAAGACATTCCCAATCTGGAGCGGTCAACAGGTTTTTTCCCAAGTGACGGTCGATTAGTTGATTAACAGGATTCGTACAAAACTTGAAAGTCCTTAAATTTGAAAACAGAAATTCAAGGCCTTGAATGTCTTTGAATTTGTAAGGAAGTACTTGAAAGTCCTTAAATTTTTCTTCAATGATCTGGTTTTTTGCACTTCACTTGGTGGTATTAATATTAGAATTAGGATGTTAGGGTTTGTAATCCAAGTGAGAATATGTACATTTTAAGACCTAACCAGGAACGACTGCGAAAAATGCAGGACAAGATCCTCTGGTAGGAATTGAACCTAGAGCCCTGCGATTCCGGAGCAGCGCTCTAACCATGCAACTGAGCTACAGAGGCCAGCTGTTGAGCTGTAACCGTAAGTTCATTTATATATAGGTAATCGGGTGTGCGGGTTGTGATAAGGTGGACTTGAATAACTTAGATTCTTGCACTTCACTTGGTAGAATTAATATTAGGATGTTAGGGTTTGTAATCCAAGTGAGAATATATACATTTTAAGACCTAACCAGGAAGGACTGCGAAAAATGCAGCACAAGGTCGTCTGGTAGGAATTAAACCTACGAGCGCTGCTCCGGAACAGTGCTCTAACCAACTGAGCTACAGAGGCCAGCTGTTGAGCTGTAACCGTAAGTTCATGTATATATAGGTAATCGGGTGTGCGGGTTGTGATAAGGTGGACTTGAATAACTTAGATTCTTGCACTTCACTTGGTAGAATTAATATTAGGATGTTAGGGTTTGTAATCCAAGTGAGAATATATACATTTTAAGACCTAACCAGGAAGGACTGCGAAAAATGCAGCACAAGGTCGTCTGGTAGGAATTAAACCTACGAGCGCTGCTCCGGAATCGCAGGGCCGTAGGTTCAATTCCTACCAGAGGACCTTGTGCTGCATTTTTCGCAGTCGTTCCTGGTTAGGTCTTAAAATGTATATATTCTCACTTGGATTACAAACCCTAACAT